AACTAAGGCCGATTCAACAAGCCTAAGAAAACCCAGATCTGGGTTTGCAAGTCCCTCAAGGTCCTCATTCCCCGACGGCCTGTCCTCCAGCCAGTTGACCTCCGCGACAAGATATGGCTTTGTCCGGACAATACCAGTGATGCGGAAGCGTTCTTGGCCTTTGCAGATGAGGAAGAACCGGTCATCAACGAGGCGCTCGTGTTTGATGATCTCGCCGACGCAACCCACTTCGGCAGTTCCGGTGACCGCATCGAAGTAGGTTACACCGAAGCGGAGGTCGGTCTGGAGAAGGATGTGCATCATAATGCGGTAGCGAAACTCGAAGATCTGCAATGGAAGAATGGCACCGAGGAAGAGAACCAATGGCAGAAGGAACAGAGGCAGCTCCGCGACGTCATCGGATTTAGGTGGATTCGTGTGATGCTTCTCAGGGAAAGAAGAGGCGAAACACCAGAAAGGATGAAGGGAAAAGAGAGACTCTGATTTTGATTTTGATTTTGGAGAGAAAGAATAAGAAGGATGATCTGATTGGTTTTTAGGGTTTTTAATTTGAAAAGGAAATGAAAGGAGAAACGAAGAAAACTGTGATTTTTGGGGAATTTGATTGAAAATGGAAAAGAGAAAATAAATTTTTATGTGGCCCCATTAAAAGGAGAAACTATGAAGATGATAAACTGACTTGTAAAAAAATGTCACCGTAAAAAAATGCCACTCATAATAAAACATATCCAACTATATATTTTTTTTTCCATGTCATTAGAGTTAAGAAAAAAAAATTGATTTGCTAGCATTTTAACGTGTTACCTGTCATTTAATTGACCGAATGATAATTTTGGTACCGAAAATGAAAGTTTAAAGATAATTTTAGTACTTTTTAAAGTCAAGAGACAATGTTGGTGCCAAAATGAAAAGTTGAGGGACCAAAATGGTACTTAAACCTTTGAGAAAAAACGAGGATAAAAAGCAAGGATTCTGCTTGATTTCAAGTCTCAAAGTTACATACGTGGGAATAAATATTTAGATTGAATTTGAAATGTCTATAGTCCAAAATGACTTGTGTTGAAATTGTTTAAGTAGTTTGTTTGATTGCTCAGAAAAAATTGAAACGTAATGTCAAGCTTCCTGATTATTGATTTGCTTGCTTTTTTTGGTATGTTCCATCCTGTCTTACATGTGAATGATTGTTCTATTCAGAATTAGGATTAAACTTATATATACTTTCTATAGTGTGCTTGTTACACTAATTTTGTGATTGTCAAGTTGTTATTGAAATGGTTGTCATGGACTTACACTGGTTAACATATGTACACTACTTGGTGATGATGATATCAGATTTAAGAAGGATGAAGCCAAATAATACATGTCATTTATGGTGCTTGAGTAGTAGTCCAAAGTCTCCAACTGAGGGATAATGATGCTGTCATGGAATGAAAAGTTCTCCGGAATAAATTACTATTGTAAATTTGACAAAATTTTATGATTTAGGCTAATGATGTTCTCTACTCTTATTAATCTTCCACATTAGTCTAGTTTGGGATTGGAGGCCCTAACATTCAAGTTGACTTCATGATTGCTAATTAGTTAGGAAGGTAGGATGCCTTGACATGGTTTCAATGTTCTGATTTTTTTGTTTCCCTCTTTGTTGTTTATGACCATGTTTGGGGCAACAAGCAATGAAATAGGATGTAGTAAGTGTTAGTGTTGGCAATGCTAGTAACAACAAAACCATATACCTTTTAGATTCCCACAAAAGTCATTCTTGTGGTCGTGACCTATGAACACAGCCTTCACATCTCCCATAGAGACAAAGGTCTATAAAACCCCTAAGTTCACTGACGGTTAGGCCATAGCCTCCTGAAACTCACCTTCTATTTTTGGTAATACAACTGCGCCACTTCTTAGATAGGTTAATGAAATCTAAATCTATAAAACCTCATTTCAGTTAATCATGAAACTATCACAAGACATGAAGAAGTCCAAGATAAACAATTAAACTTGGATGTGTCTAAATGTGTTATAAAAAACTGAGAGATCAACTTTTTTTTTTCTTTTTCCTTTTCTTTATTATTATTATTATTATTATGCATTGGAAATGCATTTTGCAATTTTTGTTTTTCAAAATATTACAGAGTAAATTTCAGTTCTTTTGTCATTTTTCTGGACAAGTTTAGAATTTTTGGTTGGTGGTTAACTCTAGATTCTTGGCTTTCTGCTATTAATTTCCAGATCTATTGAGGATACTGTTAAAGACAGTACTTGAGAGCAGCCTTCGGTTTTACTTAAAGAAGAAGAAGGTTAGTCAATACCTAATGCACTAGTAATTTTGTTGATTTGTGTTGTTTGTTCCTAATTCAAATGTAGTTTAATTTTGTTGGTAATTGCTTCTTCTTTTTCTTTCTTTCTTTCGGATTATAGTTTCTTTCTTTAATGCTATTAATTTGGTGTCTTTTGTTGGTTGGTCCTTTTGCCATGCAACCAAATAGTGGTTGTATTTTGCTTGGTTGAATAATAATTTGAATTTAAGCCATGTATCTTTGATTAGCAACTATTATTGTTTGACTAATTCCTAGACAATTCCAACCCAAAATACAATTTTAGCTTAAGAATAGATTGAGCAATTTATTAATGCTAGTCAACCTTGTTAGTTCTCTTGTCTTAAATTTTCAACTCAATTAGGCAATGGTGTAACCTCCCCTTACTCTAAATTTTATACTATCAAAAAAAAAAGAGAGTATAGAAAATGTTTAGATTAGTAGATTATTTCTTAAATTAGGACCGTTTGTGGTAAGATTTCTGTAATACCCCAAAATTTCTAGGGCATTAAAGTGAGTTAGGGACCTAATTGTGAAGAAATATCATTAATAATGTAATAGCAAAAATTTTCAAAGTTCAGGGACTAAAAAGAAAGGAAATTAGGATAAGTATCAGCTGATATTTTTATTCCTTTTCTTTCTAGCCATACACGTTTCTGCTCTGCTCCTCTCCTTCGTGCAGCCCAACAAGCTCCCCCCAAGCCACCAACTTCTATTTCTTGAGAAAATTGGTAACAAGCTTGATTTTTCCCTTCCTTTTTTTGTTAAAGAACTGATTTTAGGACCTAGAACCCTCTCTTTGAAGTAGGAATTTCCAGATCTGCTCTGCTCTTCCTCCCCTGTCCGCCGGTGCTGTTAGGTACGAATTTCTGGGCATTTCTCTAGTAAGATTCAGCCATGAATCCCTCTATTTAGCCTTGATTCAAGTTGGGTTACTCTAATTTCCTTTTTTTTCCTTCAATTTTGTGTGTGTTCTCTCCAATTTCCGCCAGCCCTCCAGACCGCCAGCTCCGGTTTCAGATTGCCAGAATTTTCTGGTATGATGGACAGCTTCCTTTAAGTTCAATTTCACCCATTTAATTGCTGAAATTATCCATGTAATTGCTGCCCTTGTATTGTTCAAATTTCTGCCGAAATATGGAAGAATTTGGCAGCATTTTAAACGTGTTTTTTTAGCTTAATTCATGTAGAAATAAACCTGTTTTTGGCTTGAAATTAGCTGCTGTTCTGTGTGGAAAATCCTGCTGTTTTGCCAAATTTTCACTGTTCACTCGTGCAGCTACTGTTCACGCAGAAAATTCTGCAAATTGTTGCTGCGTTTTTCTGCATTTTGCTACTGTTTTTCCTTTCTTTTTCAGTCTGTTCTGCTCTGAAAATCTGGTGAAATATCCTTTTTTTTTTTGGTATTTTAGTTTGCTGTAATTGAATTATGGAAATATCAGTTACTGTTCACGTGCACTGTTCACGCGTGCTGTTTATACATTGAGTTTTAATTATTTGGAGTAGAAAATCCCGTGTGTTAGTGGCAGTTTTGCCAAAGATGGAAAATTGAATAAAAGCCATGCTCCCCATTGTTTGCCCGTGAGTTTGGGAAGCTATAAATATATGTAAATGTGTGTGTATTTAATTGGTATATATATATGTATACCCAATTTGGATTAATGCTAAAATTCGGAAAGAAGAAAAGAATAAATAAATAAATGGATATTGCATTTTTGGGGTTTTGCCGGCAACAACAAAGAGGATGAAATGCTTAGTTTTATATGAGAAATTGACATAAATTACGATGTTGTGTTAATATTCTAGCGAGGTCTGAACATGTTTATTTGGAATATTAGGTGCTGGTGTGGCTTAGAGCTCTGGGGTCAAGTTTCCTGTTTTATGCGAAGTGAGGAAAGTAACTTATGGTAATGCCCTGGATTTAAGGTAAAGCTTTTAAAAGCAAATTTTTGATGGTTTTGAAATGGTGGCGGAAGTAAACCCGTTTTACACGAGCATGACTGATTTGAAGTGAAATTTTTATGCTTTTCATTAAATTGAGCATGCCTACTTGAAATTTAATTGATTGTCCTGATGATCTGAAAGTGATTGGTGAATTATGATTTTCCTATTAACTTCTGCCTGTTTTGTCTCCGATATGGTCATGTTATTCGTGTGCCCGTTAGTGGGAGGTTTATAAACACTAGCACATGTCGACATGTTACTGATAGAACCGGTTCGTTTCTGTTATCCTGCTAGTGGGATTATACACTAGTAAATCGTGTGCCTGTTAGTGGGAGGTTTATAACACTGGCCATGACCTATAGAGGAGATGTCTATTTCATTCCCGTACTGTATCCATTTTTCTGATTACACTTGTTGGCATGCTATGAGTTTAATTACGGGCTATCCATATGTTACTTACTGAGTAATCTCACCTCATTTTTCCTTGCCCACCATTTCAGGTAGTGTGGCCTGAGACACGGAAATCAAGGGGAGTGACGTGGTAGAAGGCTAGCCACTTGAGATTTGACATAGATTCTAGATATATATACCATGCTCTTGTAAGTTAGATTTTGATTGAAAATTTTATGGTATCAAAAAACTGATTTTGTTGAGTAAGTTCCGAGCCTTGTCCACTTGTGGGACTCGTCTCACAAGTGTACGGCGTCTGTTACGCCCTCAGATTTGGGTTCTAAGGCGTGACAATTTCGATGCTTATAAGAAAAATAATTGTTAGATAAATTTTTATATAATTTCAAATATTTTTAATAATTATTTATTTAAATAAGATATAAATATTATATAAAAAATTATATAAGGAGATTATTTCCTTATATAAGGTGTGTAATATCCCAAAATTTTGTGATATTTTAGCATTTAGTTAGGGGCTTAATTGTGAAAAAAGTAATATTGTTGGGCCTAATAGTTAATATTTCAAAAGTTGAGGGACTTAAAAGAGGAGAATTTTGGATAAGGATCGGCTGGCATTTTTTTCTTCTTTCTTCTTCTTCAGCCCGCGTGTTTTGCTCTTCTTCTTCTTCCCTGCACCGAACAAAACCCAGCCACCACTGATAGCCCTCCTTTGAAGAAAAACCGATAAAAGCTTGGGGGATTTCTCCTTCTTTTCTTGTTCTAGAACACATAAAGAACCCAGAAACCTCCCCCCTGCGAAGAATT